GCCCCTCTCGCGATAACAGAATTGTCTCTACATTATACAGGGGTGTGAAATCTCAGCTTTAAAGCTGATTTCAGCTTTTTTTTTCTTTTTTTTGTGGATTTCAGTTTTTTCAGCTTTTTCCCTCACTTGTGTACAAAAGAATAGGAGATTTCCAAAGTTCAGCTTTTTTACACCTTTTTTCCAGCTGTTTTCAGCAATTTTTATCGTGGGTCACTCACTCCCCTGATTATATAAAATTCATTGGCGGACCCAAAGGTTACTGCCGGGGGCGGAGGATGTGCGGTGTGCTGAAGGCCCAATTGCGGGTCCAAGGGGGTGGGCAACGGGGCCATGCCTCCCACGTCACAAAAAGGCAGTCACTACGTACATCTTTTTCCTGAAAATCAAGTCAGAAATTGCCTCAGATCGCACCACAGAGCATTTAAGAATCCATTTTTTTCCCGGGGCCCTTAAGCGGGCCCCATACCCCATGCCGTGAATTTGTGGACTCACTTTTTGGATTTCCAAATTGTTTGGGGTCTGCTCATAAGTCCGACACCTCATAGGTCCGACGCCTCATAAGTCCGACATTTCGGACCTACGAGGCGTCGGACGTACGAGGCATAGGCCTAACATTGATTTATTCCGAAAGTCCGAAACAGCGTTTGTCTATTGTCAGACTCAAAAGGCATCGGACTTATAAGGCGTCGGACCGATGAGGCGAAATTTATGCCTTATAAGTCCGACGCCTCACAAGTCCAAAATTTTGCACTTATGAGGAATCGGACCTATGAGGCGTCGGACGGCCCCAATTTGTTTGCCCCCCCCCCCCCCCCCCCCACACACACACACCCACACGCAAATTGAGTTCTGGATGGGGCTGTATCGTAAGTCCGACGCCTCATTAGTCCGACGCCTCATAATTTCGGAATTATGAGGCGTCGGATTTATGAGGCATTGTACTTGGGGACTTGGCCTCATAGCTCCGACGCCTCACAAGTCCGACGCCTCATAAATCCGATACGGATTTGTTCCGGACTTATGAGGCGTCGGACTCATGAGGCGTCGGCCTTATGTGGCGTCGGACCCCATGCGGCGTCGGACTTATGGGCCTTTATTCGGTTGGGGGATGAGATTTTGTCGGACGTATGCCAGAGGCGTCGGACCTATGAGGCGTCGGACTTATGCGCGGACACCTAGCTGGATCCGCCATTGCGGAGGCCGAAGGGCTCTCACTTTCACACCGACGGCAGGTGCCCCTTTTTCTGGATAAGTGCCCCTTTTTGTTGTTGCCTTCCCCCACCCCCCGTTTGAAAAGCATTCCGCCGCCCTGCTACAATTATATCTCTCTACACAGAAATGGAACCTTTGAAGGTGGATACCGGATTGAGCTGATTTTGAGTTGCTGCAGACAAACTGGTCTGCATGATCAGGGGCGCTTTTAGACCTTTGCTTTATACAGGGTGGGTCAAAAACGAACCCAAACCCCACAAATTATATTTCCTATTTAAAAAAAATATGTAGCACCAAACAAAATAATGACTGGAAAGCCAATTTCATAAGCTACTTTTAGATGAAAAAAATACTGAAATTGCTCAATCCGTTCAAGGAATATCACCATTTAAACACAGTGACCTCAAAACCTCTTTCATCCAAATATGCGATTTTAAGAATTGTCGTCACAATAATATTGTCTCCAAACATCACCAGCGATAAAACCTCAGTTTAAAAGTTAAAAATATTCAACAAAGTCCTGGCATTTTGAAGGCATGCATTGTAAAGAAATGGATTTTATAAATCATAATTATTGTTTGCCTAACCAGGGTTGTTACTACTCTGTTGTTTGACAGTTGTTGAAACACGTATTCTGTGTCATTTTCTTTGTTGTTCCAAACAGTCAGAATGCACACTAAACTGCTTTTTTTTGGACGAAACAGGTGCGAGGGTCATTACGTTAAACGGATTATATATATCTTCTTTGAACGGATTAAGAAATTTCAGTAATTTATTCACCTAAAAGTACCTTATTAAATTGGTTTTCCAGTCATATGTGTTTGGTGCTATTTTTTAAAATATGAAATATATTTTTGGGGGCTTTGGGTTCCGCTTTTTTTTACTCACTTTGTAATTATTATAACTAGTACAAAATGAATAACTAACTTGCCAACAACGATTGAATAGCCTCATTTCAAAAATTAGGTTAAAATACAAAGATATAGGTTCAGGACAGCTTATATATATGAAATACAATGTACCATCTTGGCCTACTCGGTTTTTTTCTTTTGGAAGGGGAAGGTTGGTGGTACTTGTATTTACATTTCCCTCAAAAGATGATCACTCCAATAAAATAGTCTTGCAGATCATCGCCTTTTTGGAAAATAAGAGACTTCCTTTGTCTCAATTTCATCCAAATTCACAGAGAAATAGGCTGAAAGTCCTGTTCCTCATTCTTTGTTTTTACAAAGCGCAATCGCATCCATATGTTTCTTATTGTTTGTCGCACAAAATGCAGAACGGTGAATGAAATGTGGTCTAATGTATATATGTAAAGTCGAAAATCACGCCCAAATCACCATGCTATTCTCAACATGTTGCGTCCCATACGGGCATGTCACCTACCTAATGACCAAACTGTTGACAGTAATTAACGGAATTAGCTCCGTGATGATGATCAAATTAGGCTCCATCCTAATGTTCATTCTAGTGTTTGCAAACAACTGCCATTGAACTGATGAGATTTAGGCCTGTATATCCGCCCGTCTTTCCGTCGCCTTTGCTTGTGCCCTTTCTCTATGCCTGACCATAGAGGCTTGACTGACCGCTAAAAGACGCCAGCGGTCAGCCGATCGACAATAAACCTAGAGTTGCATAATGATGGATTATGGTTTCCTAATCTGTGTTAATCCCAACGTACATGGGAGGTGCACAAAACCCTATGAGGCCATCATTAGATTATTTTGCAGACACGTGTATAGGAAAAGTGACAGCAGTCGCGTGCCTTATGTGCAATGTAATTAGAGGATTGCCTTTTCGCGGATCATTCTACGTATCGGGAAGCTGACAGGAGGGGGCGTTATTTAACCAGCAGCCGCGTTTCAGTTTCATTTCTTTAAGCCTTGACTGTAGAACTACCAGACAAACCATGTTCACCATGTTAAATGATCCAAACGATATTCTAGAGTAAAGGCCGCAGATTTGTAGAGCCGGAAATGTAATTTAGTTTTAGAACTGACCACTTATTACTGTTTCAATAGAACTGATTGGAGAGAAGTTCCCTTTGTGTGCATTAATGGCATACTAAGATTATGTTTTCAATGTTAGTTTTGCTTATTATTTATCAATTCATTTGTCTCTTACATCACCATTCATACAACATTACTTGAAGAAAAGCCGCAGAAAAACTAAAATCCGAAACAAGTCTTGAAAGCGGAGTTTTAGCGCATGTTGCAGAATGATATCAGTGTATCAAAGAAGTATAACCCCAAATAACGGATTACTTTGTGAACATTATGAGCTTGAAACACTGTCAATGTGGTAATGTGGTTGCATCGGAGAGGCGTATTTTATACCAATGATGCACCCTGCAGTCGTTGATTTGAACCGTTAAGGTATGAAACCTCCTTGTATATGCCAAGTTGGTGCGAGCTTATTGTGGCACGAACTGCCCAAGATAGGCATCCCTTTCTGTTGGCGGATGAGCGTACCCTTTCAATACACGATACCGTGTGATTTATTGTTTGGACAGCTCATCTCACTCCGATCCTCAGAATCTGCCAACCTTGGCAAACAATTCTTATCTCATATGAAAATTAATGATAAATGTATTCATGACAGCAAAGACGCAAGTAATGGTCAATGGAAAGCTGATAAACCACCCCAAGCCAAGCCAATACCTTAACTTTAAAGTTGGTATACACGTGTTTTTTTGTTTTCTGGTGTGGCACCTTGACAAATATATTTTCAAATTGAATCGATAACTTTCTAGCATTACATTAGTTATGAGCTTTCCAATGAGACATCGCAAGAAAAAAAAATCGGCCCACGGCAGGTACTCAATTAATTATTTTCAACTTTTGAATAAATTTGTCATATAGTGTGTGCAATTTCTTAACTGTAGCGTGCCATTTAAAACCGCTTTTTAAAACTGTATAAAGGCCTGCAAAAACAAACAAGCGAATTGATTTGTTACCGACCATTATATTTCTTTAAATTTCGTACGGGGAAAAGAAAATCTAAAAGTTTGAAAAAGCACGTGTAACAGCTTACACACGTGTATACATACCACCTTTAAACAGTTTCATCTTTAAAGATCAGACATGTCTGGCCACTCTGAAACTTAAACAATAAATACCGTATTTAAATTGTTAACGAACGAGATACTGAATGACAAGGGCAACATTTACTGTCATACTTTTTCGTCCTGACACATTATCGTTAAGTCTTAGTTGATTCTTTCTTGTTTATTTCTTCTTGTTTGTCAAGTTGTATAATGTTGGCTTTGTATTTTTTTATATTTTGGACCATTCGTCTCTAGAAAGATTTCTAATTCCGGCCAAGGTACCTCTCAATTAAAAAACAAAGAAAGCCTATATTCATATTCATTGTAAACAAGGAAACCACTCCTGAGAAGTTGTTGCATGATTAACGTGGCGGACCCTTCAACACAACAACAGCTCTCCGAACCCTGTTGACCGGTGATTATGATATTATGAACCCGATGTCCTTGTTTTTTTTTTTAACGCAAAAAAAGGACTATCACAATGGAGGTCCACGCGATGAGACAATGATTAAGTCTGAACTACTTTTCTGTGTTAATGAGAGTTTTGAGTCGGGCGAGGAGTTTAATGAGTTTGTCTCGCGTCAGTCAGTCAGTTAATGAGGCTCCCGTAGGGTTTCCACCAATCCTCTGACGTTTCAGACTGCGTAGTTAACCCCTTCGGCCAATCAGGAGGCGTCTTACGCGCGCTGAGCAGAGACTCAAAAGGCCGCCAACTCCGCGGTGAAACTCAGTTCAGAAGAGCCAAGAAACCGCACCATCAGAAGAGATAGATACCGACCACTCTCCATTCTTTGACATCTTTCGCCGCGTGGCCCAATTATATTGCAGAACTTTGCTGGAAAATGTGAGTAGGCTTTGTTCCCAATAGTATGTTTTCGTTAGTTGATAAGTCTATTTCACGCGTTTGTTTTTGCAGGGTTTGAAATGTAATTCATTTAGGCCTACCGATGATCCATGTACAATCGGCGAGTTCCGAAATTGTATTTTCTTTTTCAAACTTATTAAAAAGGCAATAAAGGAGGTTGTTTTGTTTGGGAGAAAAATATACAAGTTGAAAATGAATTTGAAAAAAAATAATTTGTTAAAGAGCACGGGGAACGCATCTTGAAACGATAGTTTACCAAGCGCTACGATCCACATTCTACACCCCTCTACACGAGTTACAAAGATGTATAGAGCTTTTTTTATATTTATAATGGGCTTAAACTTTAATTTACTTTAATTTCGTTCCATACGAAGTCGTTCGAAGATAAACTTGTTATTTTCAATTTCAAATTTGCACCAAATGATCGGGTATAGCACCTACATTAACTTTATTTTTGTCTTTCTGAAACCTAGATTCACAACAATTTGTTTTCTACTGGAAGTGATCGTTGTGCAGAAAGAAGATGCAAAGCATGGAGCCTGTTCCCGCAGCTCGCGCACCGTCTTATCACAGTATAACTGGCTTGAGCTACACGGAGCTCTGGAATTCAATCCACGCCAACTACCACCCTGTCTCTTCCAACTACTCCCTCCCTGAAGAGCAACAACAACAGCTCCAAGAGTTGTCCCCAGTTGTCGCAGTCAACGAGACCAGCACGGCCGACATGGAGCTTTCATCTGGCAGCTCCACTGGCGGATTCCAGTGGAGCGGCGACTCCAGCGTGACCTGCGGCAGCGGCAGCCCTGCCAAGGAGCGGGGACAGTCAGCAACCACCAGCATTTACTCGACGGCAGGGACCAAAGATCTGACCGGACTAAGGCCTTATCAGCCCTCGTCGGCACAGAATCGTCTGACCGTGCAAACGCTAGCAAGCGTGGACCGCGACCAGTACAGGTATTGCCTAACAAAATTATAGGATCCCTTTTACTTTACACTGTTCCAAAGTGTCATCCGAAGGCAGTCCAACTTGGTTCCTAGCTGTCCCGAAATCAAATGGAAAACTGAAAATCAGCTAATGACTATATAATAAGGCTTAGGCTATTTCGAGTTAACCACCCAAGAAAATTGGAATTTTTAGAATCACAGTGTCATAATGTCCAGATTTTCTAGATCTATAGGTTTTTGTAACAATAGGTTTTTTTCGCACATTAAAAAAAAAAATCTTCGTTCAAATTAAAAAACGGTTGACTTCAATTCCGTCTCTAAAATTCATGAACTTGCAGCGGCCAAATAAAAAAAAAACCATGTTTCTCGTCCGGGTTTTTGAAAAAAAGGAGGAAGCGGGGCTTTTTATTTTTTATTTGTTTCAAGATGACCGCCATTTAAAAATTTCCTGCAACCGTTGGTGTTTCCACTGTTCAAAGACACTTTTAAAATGAAAGATAAGTTGGACAAGTGTACTGAACATATTTACAGTGTCATTTAGACTTGTTTTGGTCTACAATTTATTTTCCGATGAATTTGTGGACTTTTTCGGTGTTTTTTTACTGCATTTTTCATTTTTTGCCGAGTCCCTATAATGTCTAGAACCCCCACTTATAATATAACAACTCAGAGACATAAGGGGATCTTCAAGACGAGATAGTAAGAGCCTGGTCTGGTGCCTAGACAGAGGGAGATATTAGGGGTTTTGGCCTCGTACCCCCTCTTATAATATAACAACTCAGAGACAGAGAGATATTAGGGGGTTTGGTCTGGTGCCCTCCACCCTTGCAGGTCAAAGAAGGGGTATATATTTTAAACTATTTGTCCTGTAACCCACCCACACCTATGGCAAAGTCTAGTACCCTCCACCATTCCCTACTCATGTTCAATTCAGTCTTTGGGCGCTCATTTTCGCACAATTTTCAAACAATTTCCTAATATTAGCTAAACGTTTTCGTGAAAGACAATTCAATTTCGTCGTCCGGAATTGTCAAACAAAATGTTGAAATTGATTGACCATTGATCAATTGGAATAACCAATGACTACATTCATTGTAGCATCTGCGCGTTCCAGTCTGCTCGACACGAAATTGAAGCTAACCGTTGATGAATTTGAATGGGAAAAAAAAGGTTTGAAATGTGCAGGAAAGCCTGTAAGACAATTATCCTAACCCCTTTTAGGCCTAAAGATTTTAAAAGCATTTCACTAAAATTTCTGAGATGTAGACCTATATATACAAGCTGTTAACATTTCCACTTGCATGGTTATTCCACGCCCGCCAAAAAAATATAGAGTTTGATTTGTGTACAATCCTTTCCAATGAAAACATAATTTGGCCGGGTCCCATAATGTGATAAAGGCACTGTTTTCCTCTTTTTTTGGTTTTGCTTGATTTTGTTATACATACCTTCAGCACCAGACAGTCCATCATTGGTTTCATTTTTTTTCTTCTGTAGGGCCTCATCAAAGATATTTACAACAGGACATAGGCGTCGCCAGGATTTTTTTCTAGGGGGGGGGGGGGGCAAAGCACATCCCCCCCAAATCCCTGTACTTTTCCAGTATATTCTCGACTTATCATTTTATGGGTAGGGACATTTCCCCCCCCCACCCCCCCCCCCCCAAAAAAAAACCTCATTAAATTAACAGCAATATGACTTTGCGCCTCTTTCCCTACATTTTGCCCCTTTTTTCTTTCTTCCCCCCCCCCCCTTTTGTTTGACTTTTCCAACCAAACGCCACCCCTTGCTCCCCTCGCGACGCCTATGCAACAGGAGGGTTTGCTAATTGGGGAGTGTTACGATTTCAGTTTAGTGGAAAAAAACATCCCAAAGTGTCGTCAAAATGGAAGTTGACCCTCGGCCCCTTCCTCCGTCCTTTGAATAAGCCAAAGTTAAAATGAAATCTTGTTCATAACCTCTGATCCAGCTTTAATCCAGCTCGATGGGCGGATCATTCCAAGCCCTTCCACATTGCTGACAGTGACGCGGCTGACACTCTCCTGTCCATGAAGCGGGCTGCCGTTTTCCCCCTTAACGCGGCCGTAGCTAAGCCTGGCGGCACGAAAGGACTGTGCACTGACTACGGATACGAGGAGCTAAAGCCGAGCACCGCGCAGTGTGTGAAAAAGGAGTCTTCTTCCCGACAGAACTGGGATGTTCTGCGATATGGAAGAGACGCGGTAATATTACAAGTTTCCTTAATCCTAAATTTTTCAAGTAAAGTCTTGAGAAGAACCGAGTTTTGGCAGGCTCTCAGGTTTTGAGATCAAGTCACACCGGAATGAATAAGTCAGTTACACGTCAGCTGGTCACAAGTCATGTCACACGGTTTAACTTGCGATGGTCAGTGAAAAAAAGGAATGACTTTGTCAATAATTTGAATAGCTCGCCACTTGACTTGACACTGTTGGCTTCCGGTGTGACTTGGGATTGACTTGCCTTTGCCAATGACGTTTCGTTTCCAATTATAGGACCATTACTGTAGGGCCTGATACATTTTTGTTTTATGTTACCAAAATCTTTCCAAGATGCTATTTTATCTAGTACATTGAGTCATACTTGGTGCCAATCGCCTGGTACAGTACAGCCGCTTGACCTAGCTATCACAATCCTCAGCGTTTTCCATAAAAGATTCTTTGCAACGATTTACCAGCCCTTACCACGGGTTTTTGTTCAAATCGCGCAAAAAAACGGCGGATACTCTCATCACCATCCCCACTTTTGCGTGGTAACCACATGGTAATCACATTATATGAACATGTTCATTTCTGCCTCCAGCAAGATACCAGGGACGGTTTACATCCCTGGTACTGTGGAAACCAAGAGCTCAGTCACTTCCTCTCCTCGACGGAAACCAACGACCAGCCACCCACAACCAAGGAACTGGCGTCGGAACCAGACGACTTCAGATCCGCGCGCCATCGTGCCACCACAGACGGGCACCATACTGCCGTATACACCAACCCCAAGACCATCAATTCGCATCATTGGCCGTCAAGTCCAGCGCTCAACATTCGAGATTTACCCGCCAACTCTTGGTACTACACGAGGTGGGCAAAACTGTGGTGTTTAAGTGGTTTGTTTTAGTTTTGAGCAAGTTTGGGCGAGAACCATCACATTTAAATAGGCTATTTATTCGTGACATAACTTACGCATGCGCACTAATAATAGCTACGTACAGGCGTGCGTTCGATCGAGCGCGTGCTATAATCTTAATGCGCACGCAACATTTTCCTGCACTCGATCGGGAGTAGCAAGAGTAACACGCTCGAACGCACCCCAGTCAAGGCTCGACAGAACGTTATCATAATTAGAAAACTTCTGGATGGAGCCCTGTGTATGTAATGCCCACAGCTATTGGTAACCAGCGACGGGACCGTGCCGGCTCCGGTTCCAAAAAGTGGGAGCTAGGCCATCCGGCGTTCGAGCGATTTTTTTTTTTTTTTTTTAACTTTGGTTAACCATAGGACTCGCTCGAACTTGTTCTTTGTTGTTGCGACGCCCCGAAACTGAATTTAATTTACAAAAAGTTATCGATATTTTAATAATTAGGGCCTAGATAAGAAGTGATCTTTCCAGTGAGGAACGCATCCCATGCAAATCGACCCATCACGTTAACAGATTCAAGTTCGATTTTGCAGATTCTCGACGCGCGTATAGCTCAAAGAAGACTTGTCATGCTGAGTGCTGGTAGCGCATGCCCCCTTCGGTTTGAAAAGATATTGGCAAGTTACGGGAAACACTAGACAGTCGTAGCGCTATGCTATATGCGTCATGTTTCTTTGTTATGCTGGATTTCGACAAGCCAACGTACACCATATTGGGGTCGAGGATGCACAACGTTCTCCAGTCATAAACCTATGACTTATTATGTCGAGGCGCGGTACGCGCGCGATCGACGGGCGCACAAAACCCTGGCCTGCCAATTACCAACTTGAATAACGGAACCGTTTTGGAACGGATATGCCACCCTTGAGAATGCAATAATTGTTTGCGCTTGTGTGTTGAAATCTAATTCAACCGTCTAAATCAACTTCACTCAATACGAATTGGCAAGGCAGTGAAGTTTCTTTGATGTGTCACTCTTGGATCTGTTGCCTTTTGTGAGAGGGGATATCATTATGCCATCACTGATGTTAGGATCGAAACGTCCTGGACTCCAACTGTAAGTAAATATAGTATTATTTGTTTAACTGGAATACGCAGGTCTATTGGTGACAGCCTATCGAACAGCTTTGCCACTGCAAGGTGGAACGTGAACGCCCCGCCGCCCCTTCCAAAGCACCATCAGCAACCCTTGGTCATCACCGGTGGTTCGGGCGCCGCAGCGACTCCCGTCACCAACCGGTCCCCGGGCGCCGCCGGAGGAACCATCACCCTTCACCAGCAGACACTGAAATATAACGACAACAACAACAAGAGCAACAACCAGGCCTCTCAGAATCACCAATGTCATATTTGCGGCAAGTCCTGCACACGTCCCAGCTCCCTCCGGACCCACCTACGGTGCCACTACGGCGAGAAGCCGTTCCTGTGCCAGCTCTGTGGCAAGAGCTTCTCGCAAGCCGCCAACCTCACTGCTCACATGCGCATCCACAGCGGGGAGAAACCATTCAAGTGTGTCGTCTGCAATCGCAGTTTCTCACAGGTAGGTGTAAATTTTATACCAGCTCCAAAGCTGGTTAATAGTTCCATCTTCTAGGAAGGTATAAAAATGCTTAAAGACGATGCATTATGTACCGTTTTTTTTAAAGGTAACATTGCCTTTTTTTGTGCCGCTTTCAAAGTTTGACGCAACAACATTGTTCACAAGGTTTATACTGAGATACAAAATATAGATTGCTTCGATACGTTTTATAGAGGCTGACGTGTGTTTACGTTTGTGAAGGGCCGGGGCGTGGGAGAAACGGCCACACCAAAAATTAGTCTTGAGTCCGAGGTCTTAAGACTTAATTAAGAGTCCTGTTAAGAATAAAAAACATTCCTTGTCATTAAGATTGGACCACTTAATTCAATTGTTGAATTTTAAGAACCTTCAACAAAATTCAAAATCTCCGTGTTGGATCTGGGTCGAACCCCAAGATTTCAGGAGCCCGTTTCACACACTCGTATAGCAAGAATTCAACATGGATTCTGGTCTGATTAATCAGGGTTGAGATGTCAATTGCTAGGAAATTAGTAAAAAATAGTCATACGGCCAGCCCGTTCGAAAATTAACATGTAGGCCGAACTGTGTGAACGGTGCACGCGTGCCTTGTCGGTATGACTTGTGTTCAATTAAATCGGGTTGCGTTCACGATAGATACGTGCTGATTTCAACATGGGTAGGTGTGAAGATAATGTAAAGGGGCCTTGTTTTTGACCTGACAGAGTTCGTCGGTCAAGACCCACATGCGGACGCACACGGGTGAGCGGCCCTACCCTTGCACCTTCTGCTCCAAGTCGTTCTCCGACAGTTCCACACTGAGCAATCACCGCCGGACGCACACAGGGGAGAAACCTTACAAGTGCCGGGCATGCTGTCGATCCTTTAGCCAGTCTGGTAACCTCAACCGACACCTGAGGATACATCGGAGAACATCAGGTGGGCAGTCTGCATCTGCCGCGACCGGTGGGATGACGGCACTGCGGGAGTGATGGAATAGTGGCGTGTCAAGCGGAGACTCGGGAAAAGAAGCCTAGGGGACACTGGGTAGAATTCAGTATCTTAACCCACATTTTCACAATATCCTCATTGATGGTCAGTAGTTGCACAAGAAAAGGAGCTGAGAAATATTTCCAATTTGGTTTGGTATTACTTTGGAAATTTTCACAATTTCCCATAGGCCCTATGCAGGGTGAGTACAAACAAAACGAAACCCAAATGTCGAGACCATTTTTGTAGTGAAGTTCTGCATGTAACACTTTCAAAATCTAAGATATGAAAGCCCAATTCATAAGCTTCCTTTTGGTACAAGAATCACTCAAATCACTCATGTACTTTTCAAGTTACGGAATTTTAAACACAACAACCGTTTTACAGTTCTATCCACGGATCACAAAAAAAAAGTTTAGCAAAAACGATTTCACATCGGGATGAAAGTAAACTGTTTGGATGATAAGGTGTTATGAAGATTGATTTGCAATGAAATTGTTATAAAAAAGATGACTACTATAAACTGCTGAGATTGATTGCGAGTCAACAACTTGTATTGGTTTATGTAATTGTATTTTGTTCAGATGGCCACACCCTGTCCTACCACTTTAGCCAGAAAATGTTAAACACTACTCACTACTCTAGTTAAAGTAAATGTTTATCACCACTACACGTACTTGATCATTATATAATTTTACGTTAGGTGTTATTGTCTTTTTAAAATAATGTTCTCATTGCTGTAATGTCATTGCTAATGTCCTCTTTTTTGAAGTATGTGTACCTTTGTCATGTTTCTATTGTTATTTGACCGTAATTCACCTTTTAGCTACTATGGTCGAATGGTAATAAACCATTTCAAACTCAAATTCAAAACTTGAGCCGTACCAGAGCATATGAGGCATAGTGAGGGAAGGCCTACCGCTACCGATAGGGAGTGAAAACCGCCGGTGACGGGAGTGATTGCTACTATGATTACATGTAATGAGAACAAAATTTAAGAACTCAAAAACTTCGTAATGTTGAATAATTATCCATTCTAAAACTGTCCATTGTAGCAAATATAGTGTAATGATTGTATTTTGTCCTAAAGGTAAAAAAATCTTTTATCATGGCGCCAATTTGTCATCATAATGCTACCTCAGTGAAGGTCAGTCATTGCAACTGTGTTGGAAAAAATGAATCCGTGCATGGGACTGAAAACATATCCAATCAATTCTTTGAAAATGCACTCGACTCTCCATAGACTTTGTACACAACAAAATTGGTGTCTTATACTACATTCTGGCGGCATTTGGGGGCGACGTATCACAAAAAACCAACAGTATTTCTAAGACGGTTTTAAGATGGTTTAGACGTCGTTTGCCCCCCCCCCCCCCCGGCGCAAGCTGGATGTGCTGCACATGTATTTCATTGTCGTATAATAATTATTAATCCTTAAAATGGAGAGATACTCTGTCTGTCAGAATCTATCAAGTAGCAGTATTTAACAGTTTTGTAAACTGGGGTCATATTGGTATTGACAGGCTGTGGCAAGGCTTGTCAACTGAAGGTACCATGCCTTGACTGACAGTAACAGATATGGTGGGTTTAAATCCTGCTGAGTGCCTGGCAATGATTGATTTAATTCAGTACAAACGACGACACAAAGGTTCACTCATGCATATCCAAAACAAAAAAGGCATTGCCCTTTAGGGCAATGCCTGCGATGCATAAGGTCTATAGAGAGTGCAGCAACAGTTATGTTATGTAGTTAATCCATTGGGGTTCTGGCAGTTGGCGACCAGCCTGTACAAAAGCTATGGGAAAGGAAGTGGATTGTGTTTTGTCAGTTTGTGACAGTCCTATAGTAGGAGGATTAATATGAATTCATCCTATACTCGCCAAATAAATTAAGCTTCCAACTTTTCTCCATAGTTGGCCACATTGACAACACACACATGCATGAGGAAAAACCCTGGACAGCCTCAAATTTCAAAGGACAACAAATGTGGGGGATGCTTTTCAGCAATTCAAAAGTAATAACTAATGAGTTATTGAACAAAAAATTCGGTCCATGTTAAGTTATGGATTTTTTTTACTTCAAAAAATTCGAATTGTTTGCGATCCGACTATAAAAAAAGTCAGTTCTCTCAGACTAGATCCGTTTCCACCTACTATTCAGGATTGATAATGTAGGGACCGGGAAAACTCGAAGTAGGTAATTGAATCTGTCTGTGCGCAAACACATTCCAAAATAAAGACAGTTTTAAGAGGGTTGTGGAAAAAGGAATTATTCCCTTAAAATCAAACAAACAAGTTGAAAAGTCGTGAGGGAAGCAAACTCTTTTTCTTTCTGAATCAAAATAATGACGAGTTCGGCGCTCGGATGTTTTGGCGACAAACCAATGGCTTTCAGTGGACAATCAGAATGTGCGTATTGTAATGAGTGGACACTATTGGGCAATGGACATTATTTCAAATAGACACTCATTCACTCACCGCTACAGCCACTTATTTTTTTTAATTTTCAATGCATAATTGGCAAAAGCACATTGGTTTATTTTCTCTCGATAAAGGACACAGGATAACAACTTGGATAAATTCAGCACGTAGCACCGTACCGCTTGATGCAATTTACAAGCTCGACACTTTTTATCATTTTCTTTTTTAAATTTGACACGACGTGATCAAGTGATAGTTGCATAAACTGTTGATATTTCATCAACCCCTATCAATTAACACTGTGCTTAGTTGCCAAAACCTTTGTCTTTACATGACTTCGTTTCACTAATGCACATTTTTGATGACAACTTACAAAACGCAAAACGGTGGACACAAGCCCAAAGGGCAACTAAATGTAGGTCTACTACATTTCATATTGCACATGCATTATTTCATGAAGGACTCATCGATTCAAAGTTGACATGCACCTAATGCAGTCACAAAGTTACATCAAATCGACGCAGTTTGCAAGCAAACTATTTTACAATAATAACACGGCTACAAAATTGAGCCGCGTAGAGCTGTCTACTCTCGTAATACAACGATGTTAATTTTTTGGTATCACATGATCTGTCCAGCGATTCTTTTTTGCTTTTTCCCAAACTCCTAACAAATATTCTGGAAAAAAACACATTTATAAACTCAAGTAAAATGTAATTGCGTAGAGTATTAATTAAGTGACTTCGTGCTTATCCATGTAGGTTACGGGTTCCCTTGATGGTGTTCCCAGCGCACATCCATCCACCTTTTCTGATGTCAATCTTAATTAACTACATACGATTATAACTATATCTAAGATGCATCTACCGCACGTCGACCTTATTTTATATGTGTGTACTCTTTAAACAAAATTTCATACATTATCATTGTTGAATCACGTAATTGCAGCTTAGTGACAAGTGTAAAAGAAACATTTGTTGAGTTTTGTTAAAGGATTGTTGACATTACTTTTTCTTCTTTTAAGTATTTGTGTAAAAATTTACTATATAATCTAAGATTGTATTTAGTGGCAGTGTAAATTAATGGTATGGACAAATGTGAAATAAAATTAAAAAAATACAAAATTGTGTGCAGCCTTAAGAATATATATACAAACAGCACACACCACAAACATCAGTAAATATATATTTTTAAAAACTATTAAATTGCAAAATACAAAAACAAAAATCCATAAATGGATATGCAAATATGCTTAAAATCAGAAATCAAAGTGAAATCCTATTATACACTTATGGTTTTCGCAGGCTTCATACTATCAGTATATCTTGTATGCTACACTACTTTGCAAGCACAAAGACCCATGCCTCTCTAAAGCGACCACTGTCTAACCTTTAAAACTTTGAAGACATTTCTCATTTCAAGCATTACTGGCTTGATATGCACAATGGCTTTCACAAATGCCTTTAAATCCATTACAAGAACACTTGTAAATTCTGCAGGTAATTAAAATCCTTCCTCAAGGTTTACATTTCTCAAAAGCAATTACGATGAAAGACTTACTTAGTCAAATTTGGCTTACATATTAGTTACACTAAGATATTTACAACATATGAGCACTTGTCATATGCAAAGAAGTTCATCTAGACTAGGTTTACACACTTTTTCTCATGCATCAAGAACTAAAAATTTATTACTCTTTGATGAGACATTATTGTTAATTAGGTTCATGCTACATTCTTTGCAGTTGTATACATTGTATAAAGAATTACTTGAAAATAAATCAACCATTACTTGTCATAGCCAAAGAAGTCCTATTTTGTATGACCAAGTTTTAAATTCTGGACACCACATTTCAGACTAAAAACTTATTGCTTTAGACCACAAAATCCAAAAAGTCTACTTGTAACAATACTGTGGTCTTGCAAAGGTTACCTGATTTCTTTTTTTTGCAGGTTAAATCCAAGTAAATGAAAACACTAAACAAATACAAACATTGAAAGCCTATTGATATCTTTTGAATATTGTATGTTCTCCCAACCCCTTTCAATCATAGTTCATGCCAATACCCGCCAGGCTTAAAATTTAGAACTTGGAGTCCACTGGATTAAAGGGCAAGACATATTTGTTTAGCAAAGATTCACCAAGTGACATAAACGGTGGATTATTAAAGTAGAGACTGTCCCGTAACAAAAAGTCTTACAAAATCTGGGTTTTTTTTTAAACCTTTGCATCATCTCGGGCTTCAGCTTTAGGAGATTTTAGGCACTTGACTTGGAGGATTCCAGCGTGATATGGGTCCTCTTTTCCTTTTCAGGACATTCAATCTTCTAATACATGTATAAGGCCAAAGTTTGGAGTATTTCTATTTCGGATGATTATCAAAGGCTTCCAAATGGCTCTAAAGCCAAGGATAAACCTAAAGCCAAGGATAAACCTAAAGCCGGGGACGCAGCACAGATTTCATAACTCCCCACATATCACCCCTGTTAGGAAAGCAGAAGTTTCAAGGTGAAAATAAGGATTCAAAGTGTCTCTGCAAATTACAAGAGGACAATGGAGTTCAGGTCTTGTAGATGACCCTCTTATAGTGTAATGATCAGTGTGATCCAATGCTTTAGTATCCAGATGGATCCTCTATGAGTTGTTGTAGCCAGGCGACATCATCAGGTGTCTTCAAACCGTCTTTGAGGCCCCTGAGGTGATTAGTGATCAATGACTCGGCACGGTCATTCATTCCACAACAGAAGCGGATAAGCATCCCCATCTTCCGTACGGTATCACAGGTAACCTGTGGCAAGAGCTGCTCTCTCACGTTCCCCTGATGGACCAAGAAACAAGCCGCAAAGTACTCCTGGTACAAATGCAGGAACTTGACAACACAGGTCTGCCCCTCTGCAATGGTGTAGGTTTCTTTAGACATCACCCCAATCCTTAGTCCAAATTGCAGAGACTCTTCAGGAAATTCGCCCTCAGAAAAGTCAGATCTTTCTTCGTTGGGATCCATTAAGCCTCCAAAGGCAACTTTACCAATACTCGTTTTGAAACCGTCTATCTTCTTGACATCTGACTGGTCTGAACCATCATGTGAGATGTGTTTGGCCAGCACATTCACTGCTCTATCATACACGTTAGCCATTTGCCGAGGGAGGCTGTTTTTATGCTCCCATATCAGACACAGTACTTGCAGCATGATAGGGGACTTGGCAAGAGTCTCAAAGATCGTAGAAGACTGAACTTCCTTGATGAGGTTATCCCCTTTGTCTGAGTCTTCAAAGAACTGATGAATGTACTGCTTGATGTTCTCTAGTGAGAAGCCAGTTGTTTCAATGACAGTGAACCTGCTATGGAGGTTTCGCAGCTTGTCCAGCTGATGGCTACTGATGGTGATCAGCAGAGAACATCCTCTGAGTGCATTGAAGGACAGTACATCCTTCAATGACCAGTCACCTTCCGATGCCGGCCTATTCATATCTGATGACTCTAACAAAAACGAACCATCCACTACCATCAGCACCTTTTTCTTGTGCTCCTTAATCTGCTCTCCAAGTTGCTGCTTGGTGATATCTGAATCTGCTGGCAGAAGTTTGCGAATGGCTTCTAGGACACCTGCAGTACCACAGATCTCCTTCTTTCGCAGGATAACCACATACTTGAATGCAGTAAAGTTCTCACATGCCCAGTCATAACCTATTTTTTCCATCAAGGCCGTCTTGCCGCATCCCGCACTGCCTATGACAGCCACGTGGTTATTCTTGATGAGTAGCTTCTTCAGATCGTCGAGTGACTTCACTGGTTCCCCCTTCTGGTCGTCCAGGTACTGGGATTGGGAACCTTTCAGCTTTGTTGGTGTTTCAGCCTTGATGGTTTTGTGACTACGTTTAAACATAGCTGGAAAGATGTAGATATCTTCAGTTGTCCTTGTCATGGAGGAATCCAGAGGATGGATACGGGTGTTTTCCATGTTCTCTTTATAAAACTCCTTCAATTCCTCTGCCAATGTGTCTCTCACGGAATCTACGTCTGAAGTAACCAAAATATAAAAATGTTAAAAAAAAAAAATTCCAGCCAAATTCATATGGCACCACTGTCTCATTTTGCAACTTAAAAATTCCTTTAATGTATAATGCATAACTTCATGCGCCAAATCACGTTGTGCATGCTTGGTTATGACATCACAGTTTTCACTTCGTGCACGCTGACCTTGTGTTGTGGAAATAATGGAATGACCCCAGTACAGATCTAAATATTCAAATAGGGTATATTCTGTGTGAGAGAAACGCTCAATTTCAGTGAGTAAATTGCCCCTAAATACCACCTATTTAACAAAAGAAACCAAATGGATTGTGTCTTAGAGAAAGAAGTTATATTTTAGGAACAGTACTGACTTTATAGTGCAATACATGCATTTCAAAACAGTCCTCTCCGTGCTAACCCTACTGCTGCATCACATTGAAGTTGAACAATTTTTCGTACTTATTACATACAGTTGATGAAGATAAAAAAAATTAAATATAAATAACGTTAATCTGCTTTTCATCAAGGTTAATCATTTATTCAGAATGGATTATGAACTGCAGGTTTGAACTGTTCGATCATCAACTGGACTATAATTATGGAACTTAAGATTTCTAAAGGAACAAAGAAGAAACAAAAGAAGTCTCAAACAAAGGTCTTCCCAACAAGAACCCGGCCGCTTTCGTACTTAGAAAATATTCCACCAACAGATGGCACAATTTACAGGACGAGAGGGTGCTATCTGATGATGGTACTGAAGTGGAAAGTTTAGAATCATATTAAAGTTGGTGGGAATTCATTAATCGATACCTTCAGTACAGAATCAAATCCATTTTGGAATCGATTACAATTAAACATTGTGCGCATTCATGGGCGTGGAAATAATTTTCGCAAAAAAAAAGTATGCTAGAAAACCACATAAAGGTCTTGGAAGCAAGGCTATGCTATCTACTATTCTTATATGTCTGAACTCAGTGAGTTCAGACATACTCACCATCCATTGGAATGGCTTTGTGATCGCCATGATGTGTCCTCCTCTCCCAGCAACTACTTTCATTCCGCTTCTTCAAAGTGAACCCAGAATACAAACATATGATAAGGAATCCTTAATTAGTACAAATACTCTTTCATGTATTTCCTAGTGTGATAGTTAATGCAACAGCAACACTTGAATTTGCAGGACAATACACTTTGGGTATTTCAACAGCCAGTACGAGCTGTGATAGATTTTACATTGTGTCAATTTTATTGTGTCAATTTTACATATGGGAGACTTCAGTTAAAAAAAGCATGATGTCTGTTTACCAGGTTGGCACATGTATCATTTACCAGTAGTGGGAATCAGATTTAGTGATATATAAGCAGAGTTCTCACGTAGTTAGTCTGTAGTCATCACGAGTCAATCACAGATTGTCTCCAGACAAACCACAAGATCATTCCGATGAGATTTGACAAAATACTCCGTTGTCATTGTTAATTTGTTAATGCCCTGCAGCGATGACACTATATACTTGTAATTTACACACATTTGAATTGATGTGGTAGGATTATTATCATAATATACAGAACGACGTGAATTAGCACATACCTTGTACATACACACGCCCAATACAACTACCATCGCAACAACCACCAAAATGGCAACGACGATGACAACTATATTTTGCTGGAAGGCATCTGGTTGTGAGGTCGGTGTGACATCCTCCATGCGCTCTGGTGGTGCTGTGGATCATGAGACAAGTAATATGGTAGTACAAGTCTGAATACTGCATTATCACAGTGTTTTCCATACACAAGTTGGGTCATAAGTAACAATTAAGGGTGAATAATAATGGAGGAATGTCATCGACCTTACCTTGGACTTGATATTGACCTAGCTGTGATGGTTTTGTGAGGACTTGTGATTGACTTGAGCTGGCCTACCACATTATCATTAAATCATTGGTCTTGGACTGCCCCAAGTCATGCCACATTGTAAATTAAAACACATGGTTAGATGGTGTCTTTTGATGGCACCGGTATGATGGCAACTGTCTTGAATAAAGTAATTTCATTGGTATACATGTAGTTTGCTCCTTTGTCAAATTTATAAAACGGCTGTAAGACCATTTATGTCAATTAAATACAACTGCATGCAACTGTGACGGGCCATGTGTCTTTACACACTCAACTTATACTTATCATCTGTGGTGGGAATTTCCTCATCATGTGTCCCACATTAATAGCAATCAACTTGATATATAATTATTTATCATGGGTATTCAGCTTGCAATGGCCATCAGGGCCCATTTTAATGGCTCTGCTCACCATGTTAAAAAAATCCCCACTTAACTGTAGCAGAAAATTCCATGCTCACAGAGAGCATATTTCACAGGTTAATAGTGAGGAATTTTGGCTTATATGCACATGCATGCACCCCGTAACGAAGGAGTTACTCACCAACAATGGTGATGTTCACAACAGCTTCAAGCAGGCCAGAGGCCTTCGGTTTTAGTTGCCATACATAGGGTCCTCCATCCGAATATGAGACATTGTGGATCACAAGGGAAAAGTTGGCGGTGAGGTCGTACTTTCCAATGGGAAGTCCAGATGCCCAAGTGATTTTACCTCCAAAATTTGAAATCAGGAATTTTTTGTTGCCATCAGGCAGCCCTTTGTGCCAATAGGCTGAATCAATATCGTTGATGTTAAAGGTCTTGTCGGCCATGCGAGGATTGTGCACAACACCAGTTTTGCCCTGTTGCAGCTCAACATGGGTGTTGTCTGATGACAATGCAAGCGCCAGACACACACAAACTGTTTGGAAAAAAATGGACATCAAATCAATCAGTGGCATAATATTCATCTTGTTTATGCTGTAGTAGTACTTGATCTTTGAGTCTTCAAACAAAAGACTTCTTAGATTAGACAAGATCCTACTTTGCAAAGAACAAACCTTGACATTATTTGAACATGTTTATCTGTGTCAGCTGCACTGAGTTGTTTTTCAAGTGCCTCCTCATGTTTTGAAGTCTCCTATGTTACTTTCAATCAAACATATAAAACCACAGATGCATCTTTATGCATGAAGCCAACAACTAAAAACTTGAATTCCAGTTTCTCCAAACTTCACTTTTACCCACAACCTGATATCCAAGGGCATGCATGCTATAAATACTGTGATGGATATAGGCAAGGCACCAAGGGTACCCTGCTCTCGTGATCAGTGCATATCATACCATCATGCACCATGCACTAATTTGAAAGTAGGCCTACCAATGGTAAAGGAAATTATAGTTGTCACAAGCACTCTTGGAAAAACAGCGGATGTGTGCAAACTCAACCATTGTTGGGCTCTACATTTTTTTATGAACCACTTTTCACAAGGGCAGATCCAGGTTACTGCAAGGGAGAGGGTGGGTGGGGGGGGGGGGGTAGCGGGGCGCTCCCTCCACACCCCTGGATCCGCCACTGTTTCAGTCTAAAATATAGTTGCAGATGTGTTGCAACACTTCTACTTTAAGAAAGGGTGTGTCGGAAATACAGACTTCAAATATGACTCTATACACTATAGTAACCCCATGAATGACCGCAATGGCATTTTGACATATAAGGAAGAAGAATTAGGTAGTTGTGTTACAGGCGTGTAAGACTGACTCACCCAAGAAATGCACAAATAGTTTCCTTGCCATGATCCAGCATGGACACTGTAGTGCACCAAACAATCCAGAGAAGATTTTATGAAAGCGCCACACGTCACCACACGTCCAGCTACTGTACACCGTGTCCCCCTAGCTTTCAAGTGCTATGGCGGCTACTGAAGCTAGTGAGGTGTGTTGACCAAAGAGGTATCTACAGAAAATCACATACAAATTCAATATCTCCAATGACAACTGCAGGAAGGACAGGGTGGATGTTTGTTTGAGAAAACATGAATGACATTTTTCGAAGTTTTTAATGTAAATTTTATATTTTATTATTCGGGTTGTGTCAATATGCAAGAATACAACCTTCCTTCCTTCCTTCCCTAAAGTGCAGACTTCTGCAATGAGAGAACAATGAATGCACTTGCCTCACTGTGCTAATAAAAACTATGTATAGTGCTGAAGTGCAGGTTAAAAAGAAAAACTAGTTTGTGGACTAATAACATAGGGCTGGTTTCTGTCATTTTTTTGTGACATGTGACATAAAGTTTCAAGTTAAAGTTCCATCCAGGAAGGATGTGTAGTTCTGTTTATAATAGGGCTTTGAATTATTGATGTCACATGTCACGTAATGATGACGTCACATCAATTTTCATCTATAATTATCCATAACAACCTGCCGTTAGAGGACGATCAAACATTTTATGACATCACCGTTAATTTGTTTGTTAAGAACAACTCAGCCAGAGCATACATTGAGAAAGCAAGTTCACATATTTTACCAAATTTAAATTACAAGGCACTTCCGGTTTCAACCGGAAGGAAGGGTCACGTGATTTTGCATGTAAAATAAAAAATGAAGACCCTGGATTATTCTATCAAAACCTACAAAAATCATGTTCAGATCTCTCTCGGTTGATTTTGTATTGATTTTCAAAGATTAAATCTATTAAACTTTAATGTGACATCACATAACCCATGGTGACGTCATCGTAACGTCATTTAATTTTTCATCTATAACACATCCCGGTCTAGAAGCATACCAACCCAATTGGACATGTCGTTCTGGAGATATAGGCCTTCAAAATATGCACATTAAATGTGACGTCACGAGACTCGTAATGAGGTCATCATGACGTAAATGTTCGGCACACATCTTCAGATGCTGGTCTAAAAGCGTGCCGAGTATAAAGGCAATCGGCTTGATTTTAGTGCCCAAAGTGTTGTGGACAAAAAAAAATGACTGAAAAAAAATCTTAACGAAAATCTTAACGAAAACAAAGGCTGTTTCGGCAAGTTCCAGTCTCAGCAAGTTTGTGCTATGGCATGTTTTGCAAAAAGATCAGAGCAGGACGTTTAATCAACCTCGTCCCCAGTGCTTACTTTATTTCCAACACGGTTTCCAATAGTAAACCCAGGATAGGAAACTTTCTTCCTGTATCCTGATTCGATACCGCAATTGGCTAGTAATGGATTTTTATCGTGTACTTGGTGTTGTTATTCACAACGTGCAGTACGTATTTTCGCGATCATTCGTCCACGCCTCCTCGAACATATTAATTTCCTTTCCAGTTTGTTAATATTAATATGAAATGTGATACTGCATATTGTTTCGTTAAGATCGTAACAGTTTAATTGAATGAATAAAAATCGTGTTTTTGTAACTCAAGCCATGCTCGCGCTGCTACGAATTGACTCTGTTTTTACCCCAGACACCGCATACAAAAACAACACTAATGTAATGCACATGCAGGCACCAGACTATTCCTCATTTGCATACGTGTTCAAAAATCTTGCACATGCAAATGATCCAATACCAGGGTGAGAGAGCAGGTAGTGATGGGCGCGTACTGCTCGACACCCTGGGTACGAGGTTGGACATTTACTAGTTTTAAGCTTCCATGCACAAAATTAATGGAAAATATGCAACAAACCATGGAGGGCTTGGAGGTTAGATAAAAACAAACTTTGTCAAGTCTTGGTCTATAGCTTCATCATTATTTCTGAGATCATGAAAAGTTGTGTTGTGGAAGATCATGTACCAAATGTCATTTTTTTTTCCTACCAAGTCTTAGAAATTTGCTACAAAAGCATTAAGTAATTATGAACAATTACCTTGGGAAAAACATTTTCATGTTTAAAATACTAACTTAAGTATTTGTAATTTGTTTTGTTTCTCTCTATTGGTATTTATAATTTTAATTTTCTGATTAAATTGGATTAATTGTGTTTACAGTGCCTTGAACACTTTAATAGGTGGATATGTGCACTTCATAAATCTTCATTGTTATTAGTTATATTGTATCTTTGCGGGCAAGTTTGGTGACTGGTACGTGGTAGGTTGGGAAACCCCCGCACAAAAAAGCTCATCGAGATGCGACATTTAACTTTCTGATGAGCTTTTTGTGCTGGGGTTTCACAAGCTAGGTGACTAGTAGACCCGTAAACATGGTAGTATTAAGCAGAGTTGTAATGACTCGAGTCAATGACTCGACTCGAGTCCGACTCGAGTCACATTTTTTGGTGACTCGACTCGACTCCAGTCCCAACGGGTAAATGACTCGACTCGACTCGAGTCACTGCGAGCAAATGACTCGACTCGACTCGAGTCTCTCATCAGAATGACTCGACTCGACTCGAGGAAGGCTAATAAGACTCGAGTCCCAAAAATAAAAGTAAAACTTACTTGCGAAAAATATTTGCAATGACTTACGCCGCGCCGTTTGCGTTGCCAGTTTTTGTTCACGTCACGTTATGTTCGCGAATAATGTACGTTCATATACAGCGGCCGTCTGTTTTCCTTCCTCCATAATAATACAACAAACATACACCGTGTCTCGGACTCCCACCTTGTGGTTCTATAGCATTTAATTCTAAACCCGGAACCAGACTTAAAACGCATTTCTCAATCGTGGTATCATCATTGGTTACGGGCGATTTCTTATAAAGCTCTTGGTGGAACGTAGGCTAAATTTATGTCCCGATTTCACACAAAAAATGGATACGGACGGGACCACCTTTAAATAATCAGAAACAGTTTTGTATAATGTAATTAGGTTTTGATGTTGTCAGCGATCAGCGAACAACAAAATCTAGACCCAAAGCCAAACCAGTTATAAGACCAAAGTTTCACATCTTCTTATCTGTGACGTGAGCTAGCAATGGAAACTTATGTCTAATTTGGATTTTCGTAATAGACTGGTGCCTTGTATTCTTTCTCTCTTGTGTTTGTTGCTTTTAGTTGTAATTTATTATATGGTGTTCAAATATTTGTGACTCGAATTGACTCGAGCTAAATACTTGACTCGACTCGACTCCACTCGACCACACACTGTGACTCGACTCGACTCGACTCGACCTTGTTGACCTAATGACTCGACTCGACTCGAGTCACTTCTTTAAAATGACTCGACTCGACTCGAGTCACAAAAAACAGTGACTCGTTACAACTCTGGTATTAAGCACTGTCGATATCAGAATTTTTAATAATCGCTGGAAATCCAATATCAAGATTGTTTGACATATCGATTATAAGTGACACATTTTTGATATTTTGATATCATTCCTCAATATATCGAAATATTCCGATAGTCAGGCATGCAACTGGAAATTTAGAAAAAACGAGGAAACTCCAAACCACACAAGACTTTGTACTTTATTCTTTGATTTGTAATGGCACTCATGAAAAGTAAAAAAGAGGAAATCAGCAGCGGATCAGAGGAAAAGTTGCATGCCTGGTATTTGATATGATTAAAAAATTTGTAGCAGTGATTTCGATATCAAAACAATGTCAAATAATCAACTAATATTGATATATTGACAAAACTTAGTGGCTATATGGCCACATTTACGGGTCTAGACTAGGCCCCGGCCAGGTGACAATAGTTTTCACAAGAACTTAGTCTATTGAGGCTGTTATTGGCAACTTCTCCGCTGGGTAAGACCTGTTCTGAATTAGCTTGGGAATTAAGCCCAAAATGCAATTATAATCTGAGGTTTCCAGCAATATGTAATTCGGAAATGCAAATCGAACTTTACCTAGCTGTCAGTGTCACTGTACAGTCTGACTGAGTAGTCACAACTGGTTTTTTTGTTACTAAAAAAAAAATACTAATACTAAAAATACTAATGTTAGACTGAACAACACAGAGGCCTATGTGGAAATAATGGATTTGTAGTTTTTTAAAACAAAACAGGGACACTGCTTGTTGTGCTGTATAGGCCTACATGTTTTCTGTACAAAAAAACAATCAAAGCAATTCTTAATATTTAATCATTAAAATAATTAAAGGGAATATACATCATTTGCTTTTGCTGTAATTTTCAGAAATGGATGGAATTGGGGGGGTTGGAAATATATAGCAAATATAGTTACACTGACTTTTTTGAGGTTTTGGGTTCGAAAATGCTATAAAAACCAAGAAAAACAATCATTTTCCTGTAGTCTGGTTCCCTGACTCCATCTAAGAAGAAACAGAGCAGTTTACATACATTGGGGAATTGTAAGGTCTGAGAACCAGTCTAGCTGGCTTGTACCCGTTCATAGGTGTGTAATCGATTGCAAACAAGTGCGATGGTCAATTGGGGCCAGTATTTGAAAAAAAGCCAGTTTTTTCCAACGCTGATCGGCCGATCAGCGTTGGAAATTGATACAAAAATAGCACTTTTCTTGAAAATGACAGTATACCAGGTGCCATGATTTTACAGGATGCTTTACACTGTCATTCACTAACAGTTCAGCAAGGTATTTCAAAATGATTTGGTAGTTTTATTTTTTGATGTTTGCAAATGTTGTATTTTCCCTTTAATATGAAAGAAAAAATGGTGGCTGGTACAACACAGCAGGGCGGGCGATAGCCCCATAAATGTGGCCAATTTACTGGACTACCTCCGTAAACATAGGCCACACATCCACATGTACAAAAACGTGTCGCACTTTGTCAAATGTTGATTTTCACATTTAGGCTTAGTTTGTAGGTTTTTGCTTTAGAAGCATACTCACCCTTTTTATAGTGTGCAAATGAATCTGGAAATTTCACGAAAAATAGACATCTGAAAAAGGCAGCACTTTCTGATTAGCCTGTAAAGTGAGTATGCTTCTATAGTTCTAAAGCAAAAAAAACCTAGAAACTAAGCCTAAATGTGAAAATCAAAATTTGGTACATGAGGATGTATTTCAGAACTTTATTTACAAATGATGACGCCAAGACAAGGCACGTTCAAATTTTGTTGTTTTGTTTCTTCACTGTTTCGCATGTATGTTGTTAGAGACATTTTTTTGAGTGCATTTGTTTCTGACACATTGTGTGACATAAAAGCCGTCATATTTCACAAGCATAGATGTTCTGCCATACTGGCCACGGTCCATTTCCCTACCAATTTTAGCCCCAACAATTTTAGCTCAGATTGGATATCATTTCAGACTGAAAAAATTGAAGGCTTAACAGTAGATTCAAGAATCAGGAATTTGTGGTTGTGCATACTCACTTTACAGGCTAATCAGAAAGTGCTGCCTTTTTCAGATGTCTAATTTTTTGTGAAATTTCATGTTGAAATTTTGATACGCAAACGTGTGCAGATGAATCTGGAAATTTCACGAAAAATAGACATCTGAAAAAGGCAGCACTTTCTGATTAGCCTGTAAAGTGAGTATGCTTCTAAAGCAAAAAAAACCCTACAAACTAAGCCTAAATGTGAAAATCAAAATTTGGTACATGAGGATGTGTGGCCTATGTTTGCGGAGGTAGTCCAGCAAATAGGCCACATTTATGGGGCTAGGCGGGCGATATAACATACCTAGAAATCCCGCACACAGGCAACTCTTACTCAAACTTCGAAGGTCAACATTTCAGCACATTTCTTCAGAAGATGTCTCAAGCTGTTGTGGTTGTCATCCCAATATTTTAAATGACTGATGTTTGAAAACAGACCTTCGAAAACAGCGATTGCACATCAAAATAGCGGAATTCGTCAGACTTGTTATTTCCCAGATAGTGAGGTACCTCGCCTCCTACTCGCTGAACATAATTTATTCCTGCGTTGCAAAAGAGCCTGTCTAACTGGGGAATCCCCCACCGCGCCCCATGTCCACGCTGATCCACTGACCAATCATGAGCTGTCCAAGTGACGTATGTAAATGAATACCCAAATATTGTTAGACTCGATTCAGGTTTGAGTTTTGTCTCTTTATAGCCAGTTTTCAATAAATCATTGATGAAGCTTAAATTCTATTTTAGTTACTTTTTTGGGGGGGGGGGGGGGGAGGGGGTATAAATTGCATTTTTGAGAAATAAAAAAAATGTGAAAAGTGCCCGAGCGCAAAATAAGATCGTGACCCTATGCCCAATTCATGATTGCTGCAAGTACATGTATACAAGGAACAGCCCCCACTCACGATGCCCCCAAGTGGCGTAAATCTGTGCAGGTGAGTGGGGGGATGCCGGGAGGGGAATGGGAAATGACCAAATTCTAAAAATTGCCCGGCCGTGGAAATTCGGAAGGGGGGCCAGTGACCGATGTACACTCGCGCTTAATCCAAACGGCGTCAAGCGTTTGCACTTTGTTTCTCCACTTTTCAGTATTTATATTAAATACTTTTTTTGGGGGGGGGGTGTTCGAAAATACCTCGAAATCCGCAGTTTTTTCTCATCACAAAAAAGTGGGGGATGATTAATAGCCCATCCCCCTGGTCAAAAAGTGTGGGGGGGGATAACCCCCTCCCCCTCCCCCCGGGATTTACGCCCCTGTGCCGCCCTCTGGACACGCCAATGATCACTCCTACTTCTCATAACATTTATCATTATTGTCGCAATCGCCCTCTATTATCATTATAGCATTCGTAATTCTGCAGTAGATCAGAACAAACAAATCCGTATTATGCAATCTGGCCTGAAGCAAACTCGTGTCACACGCTTTGGTTAGTAATAATAGAGTTCAGCACAGACGGCTTCGAAGCAAGACTAATCTTTACGGCTTTGTCAACGGGTATTTCCAAGGGTATTTCCAACGGGTATTTCCGAACGGCGAGTTGCAAAATACATTGCACAAATAAATGGGAATATTATAAAAAGCTATTTTGTCAATAACAGTTAGGGCAAAGCGATAACATGAATATGCAAAAATATATATTTTGTTGCACCTTTATATAGAGTAAAATCGATTAATTGAAAATGTTCAAAGGGTCAAAACTGTTTTGTTTTTCTTTTATCCATGTTTTATCGTGGTCTTAAACTTGTGAATCAAGTGATATGCAGTGTCTGTTCCTTGCTCTATGGGCCAAATATAGAACACTAGTTTGAAGTATGGGTCAGTACTTATGTGATTAATGACGGCTGCTGTATGGCACGTTAGACTGGCTGTTCTGGGTAGGGGGAAATCTGGCAAATTGCTTTGCCCTAATTAAATGTCCATTTCAATCTATACATAATATTATACATCAAATTATATGAAATTGGTTGGATTTTGAAAAAAAAGGTTCAAACACAGTACATGTATGTGCAAATTAACGAACTAAACAAAAGTGCCCTATGAAAGTTAATAATGCAAAGCCTTCTACAACTGTTTTGAGTGACTCTTTGGCATGGGCGTCGCGAGGGGGGGGGGCAAGGGGGGCACTTGCCCCCCCCCCCCCCCCCCCTGGAAAAGCCAAAAAAAAGAAAGAAAAAAAAAGGAAGAAGAAAAAAAAAAAAGAAAAAAAAAAGAAAAGCAAAGACAAAGTGGTGTAAATTTAATGAGTTGGGGGGGGGGGGCAAAATGCAAAATGTCCCTGCCCCCCTCTAAAACTGATAAATCGAGAATGTGTTGAAAAATACAAGCATTTTGGGGCAAAAAATTGTTTTGCCCCCCTCTAGAAAAAATCCTGGCGACGCCCATGCTCTTTGGTGTGGTTATAAGGGCACATTTGATTTACCTCGACCATATATGACAATAAGGCCCCCCAAAAAAGTCTCCGGTTTCTGGTATGCGCGCGCGTCGCCGCAGCCATGTGCGTCGGCAAAATGAAAAAAAGATTTTTTCAATACAAGATGATGTCTCAAAACTGCCAAACTCACTGGTTTGACTGGAATCCTGTTGCTGCACAATTTTAACGTGTTTTTAGATGGGGGTTATGATCGAGAATAAGCTTTATGTGGCCTCTCTGGACTCCCATATATTTGCACTAAGTTTAGTCGGGCACCATTTGCAGTCATCAGCCGACATTTGAAGCCAAAAAAACAAACAAAAAAAACAAACGGGTTAAAAAAAAAAAAAAAAAGCCGCGTTGCCGCACCACTTTTGGGGCAAGCTCCATACCAGAAACCGGAGACTTTTTTTTTCGGCCTAACACCGACACCATGACAAAATCAGGACTTAAACATTCATGTTTTTGTTGATCCGCTTATATTATATAAAGTACAGTTCATATACATGTAGATAAATACTTGATAAAGTTTGTATATGTATACTGTGGTTGTACCATGCAACAACAATAAAAGCACTATCAAAGTCACCCAGTGTTTCTTAGCATAAATATTTACCGTTTAATTATTTACAACTTGCAAAGCGCTTACGTACTGTTGTAACACTTACTGTTGCATGCAATTTCAATAATGTTTCAATTTGTAAGAGGTTTTTGTATCAGCTGAGAAAAAATCAACTTAAGACATACCATGGTCTTACATGAAAAAGAGGAGATGGAGTCCATTGATCATAGTGTGTTCTGCACACTAAAAGTGCAACATAAGAATTCAACACAAAGGAAAACAAAGAGACAATTAAGAACTTATGCCTGGACAAGGATAAATACCAAGGGTAGGGTTAAAGTAGGGGTAATTAATTGCAACACCTGCCTGCATTTATGATAGGTTGTAAAGACCAGCTTTCACAGATGTACAATTCATATTGTACCGCAGCAGCATTTCAAGTTCAGAATTAATATTAAATTTGGTTGATTTTCACACAAAAGATATAAAAATAAGTTTTTTTTTAAGGCTCTTTAAATACAATACTTTAATTGGGCGTAAAAATTCATAAGAGAGCCTTTATCATGAAGAAGGCAAAATTACTACTAAAAAATAAATTTTGCAAAACAAACTCTAGATTATTTACCTCAGCAAAGGAAAGACATTTCACACTTGTATGTGTGTGCAATTTAATTACTCTATTTTTAGTTTTACATCTTGATGCATAACATTTTTGCAACTGTACAGTTTAGCTCAAAGACCGTGCTTCAAAATGGCATCAAACCAATACTTTTGATTTTGATTAATAAGGAAGGACAAATCCAATCATCTTTCAAGCCTTTTTTTCCATTAAATACTTCCTAAAAATCACACTAGAATTTCCAAAAACTTGCATTAAAGGGCACCGTAAGTACCAACCTTCATACATGTGTAGGTTGCCTTGCAGTTTGAAGAAATTATAACCACCGCGTTTTTAGAACGCCCTGCTTTAATTTGCATTCAAATCGCAATTTTAAGTATAAATGGAAGTCCATTGGGGCAAAATTATTAGCATTTGATTTTTCCATTCAAAATAACATTGGATTTTACTCTGAATTTCTGCTCAGGCATGGACACACACATTGTAAATCCAAGTATAGAAAATGAAATACTGTATGCAAGGAAGTACAAGTCTGTAGCATTACAAACTTGTGTGTGATGTTATTGTCAAATAAATATACATAAATATTTAAAAATCCACCTCTTTATTTGATTATATTAACTGCATAGTATGTACACAAAAATAAAATTTGTACCTGAATATAATTTATTGAAATTTATGCTAATAAGCGATATCTTGTTATAATGGATTAATGCCGATGGGAAAATCGTACCAGATCAAATCAAATACATGTACAAGAAACTGTTTACAGCCTTAATTTGAGTTAGATTAACACATAAATAAAATTTGTACAAGCACAATAGGTATTTCAGAACTTTATTTACAAATGATGACGCCAAGACAAGGCACGTTCAAATTTTGTTATTTTGTTTCTTCACTGTTTCGCATGTATGTTGATAGTGACATTTTTTGAGTGCATTTGTTTCTTACACCAAACCTCTTGTGTGGCATAAAAGCCATCATTTTTCAAAAGCATAGATGTTTTGCCATACTGGCCATGGTCCATTTCCCTACCTGAGAATTTTTTTTTCTAAATGATCCAACAATTTTAGCTGCAATTGGAAATCATAACAGACTGAAAAACAAGAGTTTTAAGGCTTAACGGTAGATTCAAGAAATAAGGAATTTCATTATGATTACAAAATGAGTAAAAAAGATACCTCAAACTTACAATTGATACAAACAAAATATTGAGACTTGACCCAAGTTTCTGAACATTACACGAGCTCCTGCTGTGCTTATATGAAGCAGCCTTAAACTTGGTGTATACATGCTTTTTGGGTGTGGCACCCTGAAAAATAGATTTTCAAATTGAATTGATAATTTACTAGCATTGTACTAGTTACACATATTAGCTTTCCAATGAGATATGGCACGAAAAAAAATCCGCCGCCAACAAGTAATCCATTAATTAATTTCAACTTTTGATTTAGGAGAGTCCCACCTTTTTATTCATAGACTTGAAATCAAGCCGGTAATTTCTTCCTCCATGGCCTGACTTAGTCCGCCTGTGCCATCGCATACAGCACTGTCTAGCTTTTTACAACCGTGCCAAGGCCTGCAAATGCAATGTTTGCAAACAAGCAAATTTATTTGTTACAGGGCATTATATTCCTTCAAAATTCGTTCGGAAACAAATTTGAAATTAATGAAAAAGCACGTATATACCAACTTTAAAGTGAATACAACTGCACTATTTGTGTGTTTATTCGGAGATTCCAACAATAACCCCTATTGCTCTGACACAAATGTTGCAGCAAGGGTTCGACCTTAGTGGTAGCCTGCTGGCCAAATGCAAGTCAAAACAGCAGCGGGCTGGTTAAAACCATTCTCTAGTAGCCCGCCTGGTGAGACAAAAACGTCCTAAAGCACGATCTGTGGGCTTTCCAAATTCCAGTTATTAGCTCGTGGCACACTGTGGTGCAGGACCGTGTTCGTTGGCGATCTGCTGTCCATCTGGGCCGTGTTGCTTGAACGGCGTATGTTGCTGATTGCGTGAATCGTCGTGCGGCTAGACACCGATATGAGCTACATCGTCGTATTCGATGGGATAGGCCACCACTACGAAATGTACAGTGAAATATCCCAAGGAAAGTACTGAAGGAAAACAATTTACTGGAGGACCCTGCTACATTCTCACCATTTGATGAGACAACTTAGCCTTGCTGGTGGAGTTCATCAATTATACGAGCAGCCTCATCACTCATCTCCCTGCAAAACCTCAGGAGGTGCTCATTCCTCGGAATGGTTTCCCCACAGACCTGTGGTAACAGTGTGGCTGGATCTGTTGACAAGTAATAAGCTGCATAGTATTCTTGAAATAAGTGTAAGAACTTCACAGTAGGTACTGTTCTCCCTTCGCTGGTCCTTGTTTCCTTACACAAAATGCCTAATCCCACACCGATCTCCAGTGTGGGGTTTGGGAACTCATCTGGAGAAAAGACACGCCTTTCCGCTTGGGGGTCTGTCAAACCAACATAGGCCACTTTGCCAATGTTCTCCTTCAATGAGTCCATCTGTGGTTTTGGAATCCCGCATTTTGTAGTGGGATCTATCAAAAAGAAACACAACAAAAAAGTCACAACTGTCACTTTGATAATGTAAAATTTAGAGGAATTATAAGGCGGCCTAATCTATTGATCTTAACAAGTTCTTTTTCAAAGGCTAAATTAACATCTTACCCCCGAAGATGATTTTATTAAGATCGATTCATCAGGCTGCCTTAATTTATTTCAGATTTGTATATTTCAGGTCAATCCAGTGGGAAAGCAGTTTGCAGTTTTATTCATATTCACTTTAATAATGTAGCACAGTTAATTTAAGTGGGTTAATGAAAAGACTGTCTGAACTGTGTAGCAATCTAAGGCCAAAAAAAAAAGTCTCCGGTTTCTGGTATGGAGCTTGCCCAAAAAGTGGTGCAGCGACGCAGCTTTTTTTTTTTTTTACCTGATTATTTTGCTTCAAATGTCGGCTGATGACTGCAAATGGTGCCCGACAAAACTTAGTGCAAATATATGGGAGTCCAGAGAGGCCACGTAAAACTTGTTCTCGACCATAATCCAATCTAAAAACACGTTAAAATTGTGCAGCAGCAGGATTCCAGTCAAACCAGTGAGTTTGACGGTTTTGAGACATCATCTTTCATTGAAAAAAAACCTTTTTCATTTTGCCGATGCGCATGGCTACGGCGACGCGCGCGCATACCAGAAACCGGAGACTTTTTTTTTTGGCCTAACTTTCAGTTTTGAGACGATCCCCAGGATGTGAATCCCTTTAGCCTGGGAACTCATCAATTGCAATCATGTACAAAACAAAAAGTTTAAGGTAGAGGAGATAAATATTTTAAAAAGTATCACAAAGTTACACTACCATTCAAAAGAAAGGGCTGCTGTTCTCTTGGCACGGCCTGCTGGAAGCGCTCCATTCTACAGACTGTCTTCTACACACCATAAAATCAGAGAAAACACACAATGCTGTTTGTGTACACACTTCAAATTTGATGATGTGAGACGCTCATTCAGATATTTGTTACATTATGTGATAAAGGAGTAAAATTCCTAGGATGAAGTCAGGTGTTTTCAAAATACATCCTTCATGATATATTCTACAACTGATAATACCTTTCGCCGTGCATGTGTGTGTTTTTTAATGATATATTTTTGGCGAGTTATCCAATGGGTGTGAGTGGAACTAATACATTTTTATATATCAAATAGCAATTAGCATCGTATTGAACTTGTTCTGGCAGCAACTTCCACGGTAAGTGCAAGAAAATGTGAAGAAGAAAGCATAATATTTAAAGAATGATATTTTAAGTATATGTAAAGTATACTGTCATTATGATCATACAACATAGAAAGATGTTGCTATAGGGTTGATCAAAATATTAAACAGACAAGCTTTTGTGTTTCTCAACCTTTCCTTCATGTTTGGACTGAAGTCTTGGTTGGTGCAGATAAATGCCAAAGTTGAATTTTACCCACTTCATTTAACAATTGTTGACTGGATTGACATCGGGGCACATAGCACCCTTGACTTTGCCTCTGGTGCTATGCGCCCCTCAGGTGTTCAAAACGTCATGTCCCACATCACAGCAGTCAACAATTGTTTTGTTATACCTCTGTCTTGGAGTCTTTGTAATATTAAAAGCTGCGGTACTTAACCATAGAGCTATATTAAATTACTAGAGTGCTGACTCATGTACAAAGTGATGCCTACTGGGCACATCCATATTTGTGCACAAACCTATGGAAAACTCAAAATTTTGGACGGCTTTTGTACAGCTATTTGCATAGCTATTTGCATATCTGCATTTGTATTCTTAATACAAGTGCGTTACCGAAGTTGACACACCCAAAACTGAAATGCAAGATCAGCAAATGAGCGTTTCATTTCGCTCTGCACAAACAGTGCAACGCGTGCACATATCCGCAAGATGCTTTTTGCCGTGGCGTTTTTTGAACCGTCATTTTTTGAACCGTTAGAGTACACTTTTAAAATTCAATCCATCTTATTTCATTATGTTCTACAAACACGCACATGAATTCAAAATGTCTGCACCCAGAACGGCTTCACAGCAGCTCCATGCGCAAGAATGTGGAGTTAGCACTCTAGTAGTTTAATAAAGCTTTATAGTACTTACACAACCTGACATTAAATGAATACAACTGAAGATGACGAGTCAACTCAAAACATGTCGAGCACTCCGAAAAGCTGATGGTCTGCAAGTGTGGTTTCCAGACCAAAAGATTCTGACTGTTTCTGATTAGACGTGTGGTGGGCGTCTTCAAGTCAGGGAACCAGATTTATCATCTGCTAGTTCACTGATCCCACTCATGTGGAAATAGCTTGGGTACCAACGATACAAGTGTTTTGCCGTACGTGATATCACACAGGGAGTGTGACAGACGTCTTTATAAACTGAACACGTGATCGTTCTAGACCAATGAAAATACAGTATTCAAGATGGAGGTATAACAAAATGAGTTATACTATGAATTGCTAGTGCCCATTGTTTCCAGTTGTAGAGGGGAAGTAGTGATTCTGAGATTCACGTTGCATGTGCCATCAAGCTAGAGTATACCATGCTGTTGGCACCATTCCCAGTGCATGGGGCAAAGTCAACATCTGATTGTACTTACATGTATTGCCAAAAATTTTGCATCAGGCATCAAAATATTCACTGAGGTTTTACAGTGTTAATCAATGAATGAAGTTAAAGTGGGCATTATGCACTGTGAATTACTTGAACTCAAACCTGGGTTAAAAGACCAATCCAAGCCCTGCCCCATGGTGTTTTCACTAATACACTATCACAGTCATGATTGACATTACACATGTGTCCAGAAAAGTCTGGTGTAGGTGCAAGCACACAACTGATTGAAGCATGCAGTGTCGCATTGGAGAGGAGCATGCGTTGTTGACCATGTGCAGGGCAGGGCTTTGTGGATCCGTCTATATTGAACTGAAACCAACCTTGAGCACCAGCATCAAGAGGAGACCAACTGCAAAAGCACATAGAGCTGCAATGCTGATCCCCTCTAATACAAGCCGTCCTGTCCCTTCAACCTCTGTTATCCATCGAGCTGCAGCATTCAGGAAAAAAATTGAATTATCACTTACATGTATGTGCTTCAACCCAATGCATAACTATACTCCCTCCGATGGTCAAAATTCAAAACAGTCATGTCACTGAAGGACATGGTTACGGATTTGATTCCAGACTCAGTTTTCTTTGTTCATAAAACTGTTTAATTGAAGTGCTGAATTTTGGTTCTGTAGTCAAGCCCACCTGGCGCACGTTACACAGTTCAATCAAAAGCCACATCACAAGTCAATCACAAAAATGGTTGCAAGTATACAAGGGTATTAACGATGACTTTTACAAGAATGCCTTTTGTCACAGTTCATTTCAACAGCTTGGGACTTGACTTAAGACTGAATGACTTGTGATTGGCTTGTGCCGACTTGTAGTCTTGATGAATAAGCCAGTTTTGTATTTCAACTGCGCATGCACACAATGTTATGGGTCACGGGTTATTCGGGATAATCGAACGCTCATCGAAGATGCATGAATGCGCAGGGAGACGAGCGCACAACGCTCGCATGTTAATTACGAGCAGAACGGGCATTCACGTGACATCGCAAAACACCTCAGCGATTTTGTCCTGGACTACTTCATTGAGATACCGAGCTGGCTTATTCCCTGTGTATGAAATCTCCACAAATGCTGGGAAGTTTTTTTTACCTGTGCTTGGCACATGCGTGTCATCGAGCGGTTTTGAGATGTGGACTTGCATAGCACTGCCATTGTTCCTTCCCATTGCTAGGCCGGTTGCTATGCATAGCAAAGTGGTGTTGCCATGGAAGGTCCCATTGAAATATAACATTGTGCTGAACAAGGCCTTATCTGTTAACAGAAAAAAGGGAAAGAAAAGAAAACGCCCCAATTCTGAATTGTTTAAACCCTTGCCTCAGTTAAGTCAACCATTAGCCTGAACAGCAATATCATCATTTTGTACCAGACTTTACAAAATTAAAGGCATTGAAAACAAGACCTTCAAATTTTTTTCAAGAGCAAGACCAACCAATGAATCTTCTGTGGACAAAATAATCAAAATAGATTGGATTTTAGCCGGCCAAATACAAGAAAACACTGTCCACACATAAATTTATTCAGGTCTACATTGGAAATAGAAACACTTTGATTCATACCTTTGCCAATAGCTCCATATTGTGAACTGTCCTCTCTCCGGACTATGTGCAAAACTTGGTCTACAGCCTCAGAGCTCCCGTCTGCATGAACTCGCCGCAGGTGCAGATCTACAGCTGGCCTGGCACCGGTCACATGACACATCAGGTAGAAAAATGTCTCTTCAGAAGGGAGCTGCATCATGCAGTAGTCCTTACGGTCCTTGGGCACTCCACACTCCTCAATCCAGGGGGCAGGTTCACTTGGTGACACTGGCAGAAAGTACAAATAAAACCTGTGCTGCAATACACCATCATTGTCTATAAACAGATTCCTTCAAGCCACTTGCTTGTCTCTTAAACTGATATGAACTGTTTCTATTTGACATATTTGAGTAGTTTAGATTAAAATACTTTCTACTGACAACCTGTTGACGAAAACTTTATTCAAATTATTAACCTTTAACTCCCTAGCATAATTTACTGGGAACCATACCCATCCTGGAAAATTCCAACACCATATGGGAAACTGCACGCACACATTTCTGACTTTGATTCTGGAGGTGTGCCAACCCAATGTAAAAGACCGTCAGTTTAGGGGTACTGTTCCCATCCTGACAGATTCCAACAAAACATGTCGTTGGGGTTTGATGGGTTGGGGGAGGTTAGGGTTTGGAGTGAAATAAAACTACCAGTAGTATTATTTTTGGCAATTTTTGATATTGTCTGCAACTGTTATCCCTGTCAACACTCGATAGACCTTCATTAAGGATTATATTAGGTTTTTCTTCTTCATACGACCAACAAGACAACCTTCATCCATTTACAAAGTGGCATAACAGAGCGGCAGAATTTAGTCAAATTACGTCAGCTTTGTACATTGTACTTACCGAAAATGGTTACATCCACTGAGCTCTCTGGCAGTACTTGGTTTTTTTTAACCACTCTGCTGATATACTGCCCTCCATCTCTGTCGGTGACATTGTTAATAATGAGTGAAAAATTCTCTGTCATGTTGAACCTCTTGATATACTTGGTTCTTGGTATGATACTGCCTTCAAAATTTGAAATAAGGAGTGGTTTTCCCTCAGACGTCAGTTTGTACCAGTAGGCTGAGGAGATTTTTTCCAGATTGGTGGAATTCCCAGTGACGTGGGGATTTGGTATTTCTCCAGGCTTGCCCCGTTGTAGGTAGACATGACTGGAGTCAGATGAGGCTGATGTGACATGACAAAAACCCGCTGAAAAAATAAAACAGATTAAGGATCTCTTAACTGAGTGGTCATGTTCATGTAGATGTACCAGTGTTGTACGTATGACACTGACAGAAAGCTTTTAACCCTAACTCCACCTAGAGGCCTTTTTGCTAGGATGTAGCCTCAATCCTGCAAAATCCTCCAATTGGCCTCATGGGAAAAATAGCAAGCATATAGCCTCAATCCTGCAAATTCTGTCATTATTTCTTGAATATGATTCTTGGAGGGGTGACCATTGCCTGAACCCTGCAAAATTCTGCAGCAGTGCACAACTGTCAATATGTTGAGGCTTGGACAGTGACATCCTGGAGCAGTACGGAGAATTTCAAGCATAAACCAGGCCTATATTTATGCATGGCTGAGCAAAAACAACACCACATCCGGCCCAAGACCAAAGCTGTGCATCCTACAAAATCAGTAACACACTTTTGCCATGTAACCTGAATCCTCCAAATTCCTCCACTTTGGCAAAGAAGATTTTGAAGGATTTCAGGTCGGTTAGTTAATACATCATCATGCACACATATGAACTTACAAAAAAACAGCATGACATATTGTAGTGCCTTCATGTTGCTTAAGTAGTCATGCAGAGTAGGTCAGGCTGTGGGTAGGATGTGCTCTCGGAGGTAGTGGGTAGAGGGACAAGACAGCTCCTGGCAAGGATGGGGTGACCCCCACAGAACACCAAAATAGACAGGCCTGTTAGAGGGATGAAAATGTGGTTGGACTGTTAACTGGAAATTAAAAAAAAAAGGGCAATACCTCGACCCTAGATCTACTACGCATCTCTGGGTTATTCACTGCTGTGGGGCCGTCCATAAAGTACATAATTATGAAGGGGGAGGGGTTACTAACATTACATACACCATGCATACAGGGGGAGGGGGGGGGGTCCAAGCCAATGAGTACATCCGCAGAGCGATAATTTACTTTTAATAAATTGTCATAAAATCAATGTACTTTCTCATATATAACTTAATAACATGTTTAATACCAACCAGTACCAGTTTTTATGTTTCGAACATCATTAGGCCAAGTTCCAATGCACGCAGTCTGAATGTGAAAATAACCGCTGTGAGTAGGCTATATAAGTTATACTTAGGCAGTGCATGGATATTTTGCCGGAGACGGCAAACCTTTAGTAAAAGTTAGTTTGCCGGATATGCACTGAACATGCGCAGTTACTGTTTTTTTGTACTTTTGTACTTTTGTATCGTTGTAACCTCGTATTCACAAGATGGAATTCAGACCATTTTATAATTTCGGACTTTATTTCCCTTTAAAAAAAATCCTCCAGAGCCACAAATCTGAAAAAGAAAATGTAATACTCTGCAATAAAATGTTTGAGACATGTTAAAATAATAAAAGAAGAATATTCTTATTTATTTGGGGATGGGGAAAAAAACTTTAAAATGTGGCGGGGATCGGGATCGAACCCGAGTCATCCCGCTCACCAAAGCCTTTGCTTAACCACTACACCAAACGTGCTACACAACTTTTGATGGGAATTTAATACATCTTATAATTCAGCCCTATCTTAAAGAGTACAGCGCCCTCTGTTGATATGGATTGCCGCCGGCAAACCTTAAGTAAACGTTAGTTTGCCGTCATTACCTCCGGCAAAATATCCACTATCTAAAATGTTTGAGACATGTTAAAATAATAAAAGAAGAATATTCTTATTTATTTGGGGATGGGAAAAAAAAACATAGAAAAGTGGCAGGGATCGGAATTGCACCTGGGTCCTCCCACTCACGAAAGCCGTTGCTTAACCACTGCACCAAATGTGCTACACGACTTTTAGTGGGAATTTAATTTGATATGGATTGCCACCGGCAAACCTTTAGTAAACGTTAGTTTGCCGGCATTACCTCCGGCAAAATATCCACTATCTTATACTTATAGTGTGGCCTTTATTTACGGAGGTATAGTCCAGTAAATAGGCCACATTTACGGGGCTAATATTTTCCCTGCTAAATTTGACTGTTGAGGACATTACCACATTCTGATGGCTGATGGGTCACTACAAGTACAAGTACAAAGAGTGCAGGGAAAAATTAATGATGGCCAGGTATGGGAATCTTTCCCATTAAACTTCAAAGACCGCGACATTACTAAATAAAACAACGTTATATTATATTTCTACTTACCGTCCGCAAACAGGACGTGGCTGCATACACAGTGGAGGAAGGAATGCTGCAGCAGTCAGACACAAGGAACAGTCCACTAGGTGCACATGGTTCAACAGAATGTCAGACAAGTCGACCGTTGAGACAACTCGACTCGGGACAAGTCGACCGTTGAGACAACTCGACCGTTGAGACAAGTCGACCGTTGAGACAACTCGACTCGGGACAACTCGACCGTTGAGACAGCTAACGTGCACGGCACGTGCACGGTACGGCCACGCGGTTGACCGGAGATGCGCGCACAGGCCCGGCAAAAACGAACGATGTGCACGGACAATCACGCTGCGCTATATCGGCTCTGCTCTGTTACGTGTCATAACTCCCAAACGGCGATCAGCCGCCGTCAAAATCCCCGGTACTATCCCCAAAACTAGGCCCAAAAACATGCGAGGCGACTTGTCTCAACGGTCGACTTGTCTTTCCATTTATCGCACATACGGTCGAGTTGTCTCAACGGTCGAGTTGTCTCAACGGGCGACTTGTCCCGAGTCGAGTTGTCTCAACGGTCGACTTGTCTGACCCCCGTTCAACCACTTATAATTTGATTAAAGGGCACTTATGTACGCCATACGCGGTTAACGGTGGTCATGCACATCGATCGATGGTAGTGAATGTGGACTGCATTCAAAGATCGTACACAACGCCATAAAACAGGAATGTCCAAATGGACGTATACTCGCTATCGCTTCGCTTCGTGTTTTACTTGAAGTTAGCTGACCGGAACCTACTAGTACTACTAATCCAGTGATCACGTATGCGCATTTATATACTGTGTATCACATGCGCATATGCACATGCCACGCTCTAGCTTGTTTACATCACATGACTACCTACACTGCTTCGCTTGGCGCATGCGTGAACCATGATAAGGTTGAACAAACTTTTTTTCAGCTTGGCAGAATGCCAGCAGCACGTGAGCGTGATTGTGAATGGAAAAATCCATCACAATCCAAACAAAGGAATCGTATACTTTTTTTTCAGCACCCTTTGGATACTGGGTATTCTGGCTGAACTAAAAAAAAAGTACTGTTTTATGATAATTATTGTAGTGAAGGAATTGAGACAGGCTAGTACTAGACGTACAGAACTGCCAATTGGCGCAACTGGGGTCCTGCAGGGTCCAAAAAGTCACATGTATCTTGCCTACATGACTCCCGATACATCGATTGCAACCAGTTTTTTTTCAGCAGAATTTCCTACTTTTTAAATATTTTACCGATCACATTTCCGAACTTTTCTTTCCAAAGTAAACCTAGATTTTCCTGCTTACCAAATGTGTTTTGTTACGTTTCTCAATTCAATTCTCATTTGGTGCAGTGTTTTGGACAGCTGGTTTTACCATAATGGTTAACTTGGCAAAAGGTGCTTCTTTTGTTTTGAGAGCAATGGAGTTCAAGGTTCAACTATAAGTTTAGGGGGACCACAGTGGTACGGTGTCTGATCGGAGCTGCAACCACAAGGCAGCCTTAAAGGGGCACTATAGGTCCTGAAATCCCCGAAAATGTTCTGTTTTGGATTGTTTACTTAGCCTATTTCAAACATCTGGTTGAAAGGAAACCAACCTAATGTCTTACCGTTCCCGAGAAAAGACGGAAAAACCCCGCCCGTTTACATCGGACATGACGGCCGGATAGTACGAATACGTTTTTCATGTCGTTCTCATGTACGCTATACATGTTGTGTGTCTCGGGAACAGCGCGCGGTGACCAATCACCAATGCAAAAAAATGGTGGTTTCTTCAACGGCCGCTAAAGGCGAACACTTTACGCGTGCGCGTACGAATGAAATCACAACTAGCAAACAGCTCGAATTTATGGGGTCGCAAAAGTGGACCCCGAAATTCGTTCTCGCACGCATAATACAGAAATAACACAAAAACGCCCAGTTTTGAAAGGATAGTTGTGTAGATGTTTATCCTACTTTTAAAAATTATTTCCGATTATCATCATCTCGTTCAAAGCGCGTTTTGTAGCCCAATTGGGCTGTTCCAGGACCTAGTGTCCCTTTAAGGTAGCCTTTTGCCAAGGCCATCGTGACTTAGAGCTGCGAACTTGAACCTTCGAGCGACTGCATGCAGCGAAAACTAATGAACCGCGCACGAGTGGCGAAGTTTCACCACTCGCGTGTGTGGTCTCCCACCCCAGTCGCTTCGCGGCTCGCCGCTTTGTCTAATGCCGGCAAGTTAGGCCACGATGGACTTGGCGAAAGGCTAGCCTTTAGGGGACGGTCGTAGGTATGCGTTGTCCCATGTAGTAAACAAACCGTGACGTCATTTCACCAGGGGCGCTATTTATATACTGCAGAGATGAACTCCGGTCACAGCCAAGTTTGTTGACAATCGAGGTTGTTCGTGCATGACAGGGTTTATTTCCGCAAGGCTATCATAATAATGAGCGGAACTGAAATTGGCAAAACTAGACTCAGATGGACATGCAAGTTGCATCCGTGTATGACGTATACAAAATTAATCATATCTTTGGCAATATTAATAAGGTGGTTTCCCGATTTATTGCACAATCAAGGAACTGCAATAGCTCAATGTTGCAATCACCAGTACCTGATCGAGTTAAAGGTATCCAATCATGTGAGCTGCCCTGTGTATACACAGAGTTCAATGTCGGGCTAGTACGGTAGCCGGATAGTGCCAGGTCTCTAAGGGATGAATATATATTTTGCAAACACGTCAGAATTTTTTTGTACATCGCCGCCACTTAATATGCGGCGGCCGCAACTTAATAACTGGCGGCCGCAACTTAATATGTTGCGGCCGCAACTTAATAACTGGCGGCCGCAACTAAATAACTGGCGGCCGCAACTTAATATCTGGCGGCCGCAACTTAATATGTGGCGGCCGCAACTTAATAACTGGCGGCCGCAACTTAATATCTCGCAGCCGCCACTTAATCATCTGAATTATCTGACGCTATCAGGCAGACCAAAGACTCGAAGCTTTGGAGAAGGAAATCTTCACAGGTGAGCTCGCTGTTCCCGCTTTAATTTTTGGTTTGCTTAATAAGTTGCGGCCGCCACATAATAAGTTGCGGCCGCCACATAATAAGTTGCGGCCGCCACATAATAAGTTGCGGCCGCCACATATTAAGTTGCGGCCGCCAGTTATTAAGTTGCGGCCGCCACATATTAAGTCGCGGCCGCCACATAATAAGTTGCGGCCGCGACATAATAAGTTGCGGCCGCCACATAATAAGTTGCGGCCGCCACATAATAAGTTGCGGCCGCCACATAATAAGTTGCGGCCGCCACATAATAAGTTGCGGCCGCCACATAATAAGTTGCGGCCGCGACATAATAAGTTGCGGCCGCCACATAATAAGTTGCGGCCGCCACATAATAAGTTGCGGCCGCCACATAATAAGTTGCGGCCGCCACATAATAAGTTGCGGCCGCGACATAATAAGTTGCGGCCGCCACATAATAAGTTGCGGCCGCCACATAATATGTTGCGGCCGCCACATAATAAGTTGCGGCCGCCACATAATAAGTTGCGGCCACCACATATTAAGTTGCGGCCGCCACATATTAAGTGGCGGCGATGTACAAAAAATTCTGACGTGTTTGCAAAAAATATATTCATCCCTTAGGGACTGGCACTATCCGGCTTCCGTAGGCTAGAGATCGAGTTTCAAAATGTATAAATTCCGTGCGATTATCGTGTTGAATTGGACACATGCCAATACCTTGTTGACATTCGCAATGCATTGTAGGTATGGATGACAAACAAGCAATAAATGTCAGCATTTCCGAAATTAATCCATCTATTCATAGTCACAGAATAAAAGAAATATATCAATTTAAGAATAAATCATTTTTTTAAAGCTTTGAAAAACAAAACAAGAATGTATCTTGAAATTTTGTTGAGATACCAGGCACAGGGCAATGAATGTGATTGGTCAGTGTTGGATGAAAGAGCTTGAAATCCTGATTCTGATTGGCCAATATTGAATGGCTCAACCAGTCAATATTGGACCCAAAAAGGGATTCCCATCTTTCTTCATAGTTAAATATTTTTATAAAATATCTGCAGCAATGTTAGTCTTGCATTTTGGCGAGCATCGTCACATCTCTGTTACCTCACCTCAAATTGTGTTCCGTATAGTCATCCATTGAAATGAACAATAAAACAGAATGTGAAATCGTTTCCTTTAACTCTTGACTTAAGGTGACTTTATCTTTCGTTAAACAGTTTTGTCCTTGAACAACATGAATGATACATTCCTTTCGTTACCTCAGACATTGTTCATAAAAAAACCAACGAATCATCATAAATAGCATTAAATTAATATGTCAAGCCGAAAGAATTAGAACTTAAACAATTTTGAAGTGGAGTTTTTCTTCCTCAAATCTATAACAGGGATGACAATGCCAAGAATAGAATATGAATAAAATACCAAAAGAACCCCCCCCCCCCAAAAAAAAAAGACAAAGTCTTCACTATAGTTTTAAAATCCACTATTAAAAGAAAGAATATCTTGCAACACGGCCAGAGCTTAAGTGCACTCGCACTTGTATTCCTCCGTGAAACCACAGAGCATGCAGTTGAGGTCAACGTGAGGGCACGGCACATTCAGTACAAACAGTTTGTTGACAAATCTCCAGACGGAGCTTGTCCCATTCCATAATCAGCACATCCGATGTTACCTACAGTAACTTGGACAAATTACAACCACAGTTGCACAAAATGCGTATGAGGTGTATATTCATTTCAGGTTTTTTTTTTGAAGGGGGGGGGGGGGTTATCTCCCCCCAAATATGGAATTACGAGAGGGAAATGTGGTTGCATCATAAGGATGGTTTTATCACCTCCATATAGTTTAAATATCAGAATGCCATTATTTTGTAAGTAAATAATAGGATAATTCCTCATGTGAAATCATTGCGCCACTGAATAGTATGCTATATTTTAAGACAAAGAGTAGTTAAGCCTGCCATACCATATTTTTTTCCGCGACGGGACCAAACAATCGCACTTTGAACGACCACCAATGATTTGCGTCGAGAAAAATGAAGATGAATTTTCCTTTTTTCTTTTTCAAGAAGT